CCTTCCCACATTCACTGCATATGTACGGTTTTTCTCCAGTATGAACTCTCAAGTGCTGTGTTAGGGACGAGCTTTGGCTGAAAGCCTTCCGACACTCCTTACATTTGTAGAGCTTCTCTCCGGTGTGGATCCTCTGGTGTTTGCTCAGGGAAGAACTGTGGAGAAAGACTTTCCCACAGATGTTACATCTATAACACTTGCGCATTGTGTGGACTCCCAGTGGTTTAAATAGAACTGAGTACTGCTGTGAGCGGGGCTTTCTTCCTCTGGAGACAACTCCAGGTTTTCTAGTAAAAGGAGACTTTATACCAGGATTTCTCACGCATTCAATTCCTGTAAGGCCCCTCTCTTGTATATAGTCTCTTCTAATGGAAAACAGCATTTCACTGAAAAGTTTGTTCTTTTTGCGTTGTTGCTCCTCTAACTGTTCCTCATTTACATATGTTTTTCCCAATATGAAGTCAAAAAATCCATCAGCTCTGTGATTTTTCAAGGCTTCCTTACTTTCTTCTTTGGAAACTATGGGTTCAAACAAGCTCTTCCACCCTAAATGAAACAAAATGCAAGTGATTCTTGCACTGGGAATAAAGGAAAATGATATCAGAATCTTAGGAAAGGTTAGGAACAAGGACAAAGGAAAAGAAACAGGAGGTAGACGTGCCTGAAAGGAAGGGTCTGAAGAAGTGGGGGATGGGGGGGCCTGAGGACATCAGATGGCAGCTCTCCCAGTAGGATGGGGTGCCAGTCTTGATTCAGTAACAAAGCCTGGGTCATCAGCTGCTTTTGAGCAGAGCTTGTGTTATTATTCAGTTTCATCACCCAGACCAGTGCCAGTATACTTAGGCAAATCCCCAAAGAAAACTATAGAGAAGAAGAGGAGGGAGAGAAGAAAGAAGGGAGGAGGAGGAGCCTCTGCCGCCAGAGCTCTGTGAAACAGTTTCGGTCTCAGCAGTACCATTCTGGCCCTTGTCAGAGTGCTAATGCTGTAATGAGTGTTCTCGCAATAGACAATGCAAAGGCCACGGTTGGGAATTACAGGCAGTAGCAAGGCAAGGGCCAACTCCCACAGGCTTCCATTCAATAGTCAAGTAACCAAATTGCCAAAGAAGAAACTAGGGCCTTATGAAAGCTGTGTAAGAACAAACAAAACCAAGGCAATGTGCAATGGGGGTAACTACACTGATACTTTAAGGTGGATGATAAGAAGATGAAGTTGAAGATAAAATCTAGAGCCCAAGATGGTGGGATGGGTAAAGGTGCATGCTTGCCAAGTCTAATGACTTGAGTTCAATCCCTGGGACTCAAATGGAAGAAGGAAAGCACTGATTCCTAAAGGCCGTTCTCTGAGCTTCACACTCAAGCTATGGCTTATCCCCCAACCCCCTCCTGTACAATATAGATAAATCAATGTAAAAAAAAATATAAGAGCCAAGATACTTAGGAAACACTATAATAAATGAAATAATACATACAAAAGACATGACTATATTTTACAAAGGAGCTTTCATGCTGTTGATTATTAAAGAGGTCACCTTTACAGAAAACAGGAGAAATAGAATTCAGGCTGGAGTTTGTTATCAACACTCATTGCTCAAAGATAATAGAGTGGAGTCACACGTGGACACTGCTGAATGGGAACAAGACATTTAATTCCAGAACTCTACCCCAAAGCCTATTTCCAAACGAGAGAAGAAAGAACTTAGACACACATGTGTATAGTACACGCAAACTCTGAGAAAATTATTCATGGAAAAATTATTATCAATACAAAGGAAAATCTGAAGACAGTTCATGAATGGCAATCCAAGACAAAACTGACTCAGAATGCCAGAGAGAAGTGAAATCTGGGTAAGTAGCAGGGAGGGCCCAAGAGAATCTTCCTCTGGCAACAGAAACAAAGACAAAATCCAAAGAAGAACAGAAAGTAGGCACTTGTGATGTGGTAATCAGAGTCAAACAAACTCAGCCAACATACAAGGGACCAGGATCTGCTGTATATGGCTTACGAATTGTCACAGTGACAAACAGTCTGATGAATATTTGCAAATCTGCTTAAACTCTATAACTGTCACCACACTGGCACACCTATTTCCCTCATGTATTTGCACACGTACATATTCTTCCATTGTTTTTCCTTAACAATGGATAATGAGTGACAGACAAAGTCAAAGCAAAAGCCCAAGACAGTATGGTGAAACTGTGGCTCACGCTCTCATATGACAAGAGGCACTTGACAAAATGCAATCCTTGCTTGGAGACTTCACCTCTCCCTCTGAAACTGAAGGATGAGTTGACCAGAAATAAAGAGGGGAGACATGTCCTTCCCAGCAATTTCCATGTGCTGGCACACCAAAGGAGGTCCCTGGCCAATGTCTTCTGAGGACAATCCCCTTGTTGTGCCCAAGCAGGTAAGAAATGCCAAGTTCAAGTCCTGATCCCTCTGCCACTTACCTAGATACACACCTTGAAGCATTCCACTTTCCACCATCTGGAAGTCTTCTGCTTGCTCTAACTGAGAGATGACCTTTGGCTTGGAAAACAGAATCCCTGTTCATGAACAAGAAGACATGAGTGGCCATACTGGCATAAAGGTCCAGGCCAAGTAGACCCTGAGGTCGGGGTACAGTGCACAGGAGGAGAAACTTGTCTAGAAAGCAGCCTGAAACTGGGCTCCTAAAGGATGTCCAGAGACAAAGGATGTGTGTGAGTCAGGGCTCTGGCTCAGCATTCCTTTTGGTAGGGACCCATAGCAACAGAGCTGGTTTTGGGGAGACAGAAAATCACAAGAGAAGGTGCTTCTTATCAACCCAGCCATGTTTGGACTTCTCAGAATAGCCAAGGGGAAAAGCAGCCATGACTGAGCCCTTCCACAGGCCAAACCTAGCCAAACCCTTCACACATCCTCCCAGGTAGAGGGTAGGGATCATGCATTTCCATGGCAGAGTATGCACCCCAATAAACTCCTTACCCAGTGAGGCCAGGTTGCTGTAGTTCTCCAGCATCACCTCCCGGTACAGGCTTCTCTGTGCAGAGTCCAGATGCAACCACTCATCCTGGCTGAAGGACACAGCCACATCCCTGAATGTCACAGGCTCCTAGAATAGCAAACCCATTCCTGCTCATCCTGGACCACCCCCACACATAGTGTGAGTGAGAGGCAGCTCTGTGAGAGTTTCGAGTGTTTCAAGCCAAGCAAGCATTTCTGAACAACAGTTTCACTAACCAGTATGTATTCATGATATTCCTACAGTAAGTGAGTCACGGTACCCTAAGAAAATGCAAACCCAGCACCCTACAAGAGAACACCTGACACCATGAAACCAAATCAGGAAGACAGAACAGAACCTGAGACTAAGAAATGTATTAGCCATAGAAAGGGAAATGGTAAGGTGGTTTCCATGTTTCTGATACTCTACAAATCACGGGCTGGGCATCGGTGTACAACGCCTGAGGCATTCCCACAGTGGAAATGCTAGGAGCTCACCTTTTCTTCACAACGTCAAAGGCCCATCTCTACAACCCCAAGCTGGTCACAAAGCCTAGCATCTTTCCTGCTCTGAAAGGGCAAAAGTAAGTTAAATATGCGTGGCTTGACTTTCCTCTCTGGACACGAAGGAAGAGACAGTACCCCACTTCCTGTTTCTTTGCGGCACTGAGATTCAAACCCAGAGCCTTGAGCACGCTAGGCAAGTGCTCTAACTGTAAGCAACATCCCCAGCCCCCACCCCTTTACTTTCAGAATCTCTGTGTTTTTCAGACGTATATGAATCTGGGGGTGGGTGTCTGTATATGCACCCAGGGATGTCAACCAGAAGTCAACCTCAGGAGTTGAATTCCTCAGTATGCTATCCAATTTGTTTTTTGAGACAGGGTCTCTTACTGGCCTAGACCCTGCTGACTCACTATGCCAGCTGGCCAGTGAGCCCTAGGTATCCACTGCCTCTCCAGGGCTGGGATGACAAATAACATATCATCATCCCTGGCTTTTTTTCTTGAGTTCTATGCATTGCATCAAACTTGGGTCCTCAGACGTATGTGGCAAGTAGATGACTAATTGAGCCAGCTTCCCAAAGAGTTTGTGAATCTTCTTAATAGCTAAGTCACTTGCCAGTCTCAACCCAGAAAAGCCTCCCCACAGAACCCATGCCTTTCTTTGAGCAGAATCATGGCAGATGCTACTATCAGAGCCTTTAGACTAAGAAGGCAAAAACTCCCTGGGTTCCTTACAAAACAAAACAAGCTTAGCCAGTCAAGCACCAAAGGAATTCTGCATGGGGACAAACAAACCTTGAACCTATCCGTTTCTGTGCTCTGCTTCTACATTTATGCCATATCACTTTTTCCTTCTGTTCCTTTGGATGCCCAGAATCACTTCTAGTCATTAGGCAGAAGTTAAATGTGCGTATGAAGGTAGGCTCTATTGTTTAATCTTAGTTTTATGGCAAAAGGATATCGGAGTTGATGAGCATTGATGAGACAAGTGAGGATGAGACCAGCCCTACAGTCAAGTCACAAGACCTCAAGTAGGTTAACATATACTGGGAGGCAGGTGATAAGCTCTCCGCTAGTCAAAAGTGTTAAGTGGAAAAAGACATTAAAAACTGTAGTGACGGCCTATGGGCTGATTCCAGCTCTTGGACAGCTAGTCTGCCTGTACAATTCAGTCCCTGCTCTAATAAAACCTTGCTCTCTGAGGCTCTGTGTGTCTTGTTGAAATCTTCTCCAAGAGAATACAAGAACCAGGGGACCATATAACAGCCTGATAGTCTGATGTCTGCTTGAAAAGTGTGGAGTGAGGGAAAGCAGTTAACTCCTGGCCAATGGCAATATAAGTGATTCATGGGACAGGAAGAACCTCCCTTCAGGAGTTAAGGCCTCACCTTTCACAGCTTCTGTTCCTCGTTGGGTACTGAAGCCTAGAGAAGCTCAAGAAAGAATGAAATAAATTCACCTCTTCTGCAGTCGGAAGGCAGTTCAAAAAGGAAGTTGTCTTTACTCACCTGAACCTGGGCTGGCAGCAACCTCTTGGCCATTTTTCTCCCCTGTTGCTCTTCCTGAGAAGACACCTGAGGCAGAGGAAGAGGCTGTGAGGTCCCCTCATTCGAGCTGCTTTCCAGTCCTCACTGGGACGGGTTAGAAACCACCTGCTGGGCATCAGGGTAACCTCCCCAAGCTAGACAGAACCTGGGTATGACCAGCGAAGCCAGAAGCAAGCAGCAATCGCACCTGGTGGTGGCCACCAAAGACAGAAGCCGCCAACAAGCATACCTTGTTATCGGACCTGTGGCCTTTTCACTAGAAAATATAATAAAGACACCTGAACCAAGCAGCCACAGCTATCGAGTTCATTAGCAAGATAAAAGGCACCATGGTGTGCAACCCAGGGAGCTAAGAGAAAGCATAAATGTTCCACACATCTGCACTTGGACATGGCCAATGAAAGAAGTGGCTGCAGAAGGCATACCCTTTTCAGAATCCAAAATTAGTCCTCTCGGACTCGTGGGCGTTTTCCTCTGATCAAAAGAATTACCAAAGTCTCTTAAATTAACAAGAAGACTCCTCCCCGCCCCCTCTCCCCCACGCTCGAAATACATCAATAGCTAAAATTGAATTTAAAGTTTGGAGAAAACGGGACTGTAGGTGCAGCTCATGTAAGAGCGCAAAATAGTAACGAGTCCTGGGTTCCGTGCCCAGCATCCTTTCACTGCTTTCCAATAGTAAAACCTTAGAGCAAAGGAACAGAACTTCAATGCAGGCTGTGGGGTTCACTGTAAGACACTGTCGAACACCGAAGACTGACAGGAACGAATAAACAAAGTTTCCGCTCCGGGATGGTAAGCCTGCAGGCACTGTGCTCAAGGCCACCCTGACTCGCAAACCTGAAGCCGGTGGCTTCCTTGACCGCTATTCCGGTCCGGAGAGACTTGGAGTCAGGGCCAAGGGCCTGCACCTGCCGCCGAGGCCTCTGCGCACTCTCGCTGAGCTCGCGGCCCTACCCGGCGGGCTCCCAGCTGCTCCCGCTCTGTCTGCAAACCCAATAAGCCCAGCAAGGAAACCATACTAGGCTCGACTGCGCGTGCGCACGAGCTGCCTGATTTCCAATACGGACTACATTTCCCTGAAGGCGCCGCGACGAGCTGTCCTATACCACAGTGGGAGACAGGCTTCTAAAGGCTGCCTTTCAGTTGCCACCTCCTCCCAGGCTTTTACGCATGCTTCATTCATAATTACAGTGGTAATACTTCTAAAAAGGGCAAAGTAAGTGTGCATTAAATGTAGAAGAATAAGGCGCTGGTTGCTTAGTTTTAGATGGAGAGAGGACTGCCCTTTTTCATTCTTTAACAGAAAATGGTTTTTGTAGCCTACAAAAGAAACAATATACACAAATTTTCACTGCTGGTTCATACTTCAAGCAAATATTAAACAAATAAACTGTCATATTAGCTATTACTGCCGCTGGCAGCCCAGATTTTCAGGGAAAGCTAAAAGGTAGAAATAAATTTATTCATTATTTGAGCTCTTTTTAGAAAAATTTGACCCTGTCTTTGTCCACTGTAAAGATTCTGAAGAATGACAATTCAGTTGCAATTAGATACGAATTATGTTCTCTAGACAGCAATTAACACCAAGAGCCCCTTAAGAAGTCCACAGCTGAGGGTCCATAAGACAAGCCCAGTGTCCAGAAGGAAGAAACCAAGAAAAAGTTTGTATTATAGTCTCCCAGGAATCAACATGAAGGACTTCTGCTGAACCAAGACCACAAAAGTTTGAAAGTCGCCAAACGCTGTAAGATTCTTACTTCTATTCCTGTCAAAGTATGCCAGAAGGAAAAGAGCTACCCAGTGCCAAACAAACACCAACCCACCACAGATAAAGTATTCGACATACACACTAAAACATACCACTTTAGCATAAGGATTATTTTGACTCCACACTGGGTGTGGGACTTTCTGTAGGCTTTTAGTAGATAGTTTTGTCAAGCTAAAGAAGATCCCCAGATGGCTAAAGTTTTAAATCATGAATGAACAGTAGACAGTACCAAATGCTTCTTCTGCATCCATTTAGATAATCATGCTTTTGCCTTTAATCTGTTAATGTAGTGAATTACAGAAATGCATTTCCTAAATCATCACATTTCCTAAATCGTTAATCCGCTGAAGTACATCTCTGGTTCAAACAAGACTGGCTGTGACAGGTTTGTCTGTATTAGTTTGTAAACGTTGGACTGGGTCTTTCTGTCTCTCTGCTTCGTGGCTTGGCCTGAAGAGTATTTCATTTCTTACTCTACCTATGTATTAATTTCATGATGTGTGTTGTCATCTTCTCCAAATGTGTGATGTTTTGTGAACAGAGAAAATGCCTTTGTAACACAATTGAGTATTATAGGTTAGCTTGGTGTTCCACAGAAGGCTTCACCTGAATATTTTCTGTTCTCAATGAGATCACCTCCATGCAGTGAGCTGACACTGCTAGACAGCTGTACAATCTGAGGAGAGCTGCGTTTGGTGTCCCTTTGTCTCTTCTCCCCCTAACTCACCATGTCTGCCTGTCCCGCAAAAATACTGTGGACCTTTTCATTCTCTTTTTCCTGCTGAGCTGAAGTGGAACCCAAGGCCTTGTGCACGTTAGGCAGACACCATACTACTGAGCTAGAGCCCAAACCTGCTAGGTTATTATTTTTTAAATCAGGATCTTGTCCTGCTTACAGATCTATTGATGGCTTAGTGGTTTGTGTTAGTTTGATCCTCTCATATTTGAAGTTGTTTTTCTTCTGGGGTGTCACATGTGGATTTTCAACAAAAATACCTGTTCTTACATCTTTATATTGTTGTTATTTTGATATTTGTTTTTACCTGGTTGTCGCACCTGCTGAGCAGCCTGCATCCGAGAATGTAGCGAGGTGGTCGGGATAGATGACACAGAGACCGGTCGGTTGCATTAAGAAAACTTTATGCTCCCCAAGTCATCTTAGGAGAACTCCCCAAGAAAAAAATGCTTCCCTTTTTAAAGACTTCTGCCATCCATATACACACAATTCTCCAACCAAGCTCTCACACACCTCTCACAGCTCTCACAGACTTCTCACCCTCCTGGCTGGTCGTTAAATCTCCAGCACCAGAATCAGGGAGAAACAGCAGGGAGCAGGAAGAAGCATCTAGCCGTAGGGGGGATCAAAGTCATGGTGTTTCAGTGAGTGAGCCCTTATCGGAGCCCTATCAAGAGCTTTATGGCACTGAATTGTTTTCAGTAAACATTATCTCGCAGCTGATGGAGGGGTGGGTTTCTGGCCAGGGTCTGTGATCCCCCACAATTCCTCCTTTTTTATTTTCTATGAGGCACTCCTGTCTTAGGTCAAATGGGGTGGCCCCCCATCCCGTCTTTGGGGTACCCTGCTACCCCTGCCTTAGGCGGGGGGGGGGGACGACTCTACCCCATAAGTTGCCCGTCATCAGAGAAACCTCATCTTAGAATCATCTGTAATAAGGCTTTATGGCTATCGGGATTGCCATGGGCTAAGGCACTTTGAACTCAGCATGAAGCCAGAATGCCTACTGCCACTGTTACCATTCCTAGGACCCCCACTGACATAGCACCTCTCTGTCATCTGCCCATCCCCTGATTTGGCCGTAGCATTCTACCACCAGCCTTTCTTTGCTACAAGGGTGATTTATAGTTACAATTTGACGGTCAAAACAATGATAAAGTTTACAATCATTTCAAGATCTACTTAGGAAAGCATTTAGAGAGTGCACTTGCACAGATACATTAGGTACAATCATTGATGTTACACATGTAGCATTATAAAAAATATGAACAAGAGGCTTGTTGCACTATTTACAGAGTACCAATTTGTTCCTGTGGTGATGTAGTTTGTTGATTTAATGTCAGTAGTATCAGCTGAATATGTAACTTGAGTCAAAGTCTTTTTGTCACATTAGGACAAATTACATTTCTCCAGAAAAATACACTGGCATAGGTGCGATTCCAGAAACAGGAACCACCAAGTCTGATATTTCAAGTGACCATGTCCTGTTCAAATACTGAAAAGAGGCTTTTGCCACTCATCACAGTCCATACCAACGTCCAAATGTTTTAAATGGGTCCTTTTTCCCCCAAGGGGAAAAACTGGCAAAATGAATTCTATTGTTTTAAGGTGTGTCAAAGGCAAACTGCTAATCTTCCAGTTTTGTTGGCTTTGGGATGAAAACTCACGGGTCCAGGAGGTTGATGTAGCAGGCCTGATGAGAAACTGGAAATCTCGAACTGACTGTTTTATTTCTTTCTCCGGCTGTAGATTTGATGACATCAAGGGTCAGGAACACCGATTTAGGAGATCTCGAACTGGCTTGGGCAGGCTCCCACGGTCTCAGGTCCAGTTTTCTCTGCTCCATGCATCTCACCAAATGTTGTGACAGCTACTGAAGCTTTATTCTTTTTCTGCAAGAAAACACAAACATGCCCTCGACCCCAAATTAGGGTCTTCTCCACTGTCTAGTGTATGGATGTCTCCATTTGACCTGAGTAATAGTTGCTCAAGTTCCATTATGCCAGAATCTGTCTGAAGCAGATTGCTCACTGGCATTTACATTTTTAAAAATTTTAAATGAGGAGTGGATTATTCAATGAATCATGTGGGAACTGGGGACATTACTCCCCCTTTTTTTATTTTTAAATTTTGTATGAACTGTTCAAGTTGGACCATAACAGTAGAAGGATTTGTCTACCCTCCTTAGTCAACTATCTAGGTGAATTGGGATCACTATTTAAATTATTAGTAGATGTCCTTTAAAAGGGACATAACCATTAAGTACCTTTGAGAATCATTTAAGGATTGTAAACTATACTATGTCCCAAATAGTCCCCCCTTTTTTTTTTAAACCGGTAGCTCTCACTAGCTGACAAGGCCTCGTTTGCATCTGAGCTGACAAGGCCTAATTTGCATCTACAAAGACACCTTTGGGGGTGGGGCCTGCCAAAGCGGCAGGGCAGTTCCCTGAAAAAAACCTCTCTCTCTCTCTCTCTCTCTCTCTCTCTCTCTCTCTCTCTCTCTCTCTCTCTCTCTCTCTCTCTCTCATTGACTGGCTCTGAGGGCTTAACTTGAATTTTTTGTTAAAATATTAACCGACTGACTGGATGTTTCTTTTGGCTATATCTAAATCGATTTAGATAGTTTTTAACTGTTTGAAGGGATTTAAGTATCCCTTTAATCATATCCAAGGCAATTAGAACAGTTGCTTTTGTTAACATCACGCATTTACATTTCACACTTCATACATACTGACTGACGTGGCCACGTCCATACACATAGGCCATGCATACATATCTCTCCTTTTGCCTAGGTTATGATTAGTTTGTTGAACTGAAACTTCTTTAACAGAACAACTCCAGTCAATCTTTGAATTAAAACAAAAGGTTGAAAAAGTCCTGTATGTCCCTCATCATTTCTTCATTAGAGAAGTTTTGAGCTACACTCAGGGGCTACAGCCATACCCACTCCTTGTAATTCTGTAGATGCAAAGTGGAAAGGCCAGGCTTTTGCCAAAAGTTTTTAGAGATGACTCACAAAATTGACCTTAAATTTATATCAATAACCTACCCCATATAAATGTAACCAAACATTTTTATTTTATATACCTTTGCCTTTTTCTTTACTGAATACTAATACCTCATTTATTAACTGTTACCAGTTTTTTTTTAATTTACCCATCTTAATCCATTCTCCCATTGAGAATGGTCCCTTTAGACAAGGGCCTGGAAATTTAATCCAATCCACCTTCCAACTGAGGGCAACGTCTTAGGTTCCCCTTTTCTTTCTTGACCTTGTATTAGGGGAAGGCCTAGACGTTTAATCCAATCCACCCTTCAACTGAGGGTTTAATCATGGAGATATTAAATATTTTTAATAAAGCAGAGATTCCCCTTTTAGGAGGGGGAAACTCAGATTGTTTTGTTTTTGACTTTCAATCTCTTGTTGGCAGCAGCCACTCCCAATGTATTTATTGGTGCTATAAAGGCGATGAATGGGGAGCTGCAGTGACG